GGGCAGAGAGGGGAAAAGAGGAGCCGAAGCTTTAGCCTTTTCCCCGCTGACTAGCGGGATCCCTGGGATCCCAAAGGTGCCCCGGGCAGGCTGAGGAGCTCAGCAGGGCTTCGTGCTGGGGGAATCGTGGTTGCTCCCGTTCTGAGGTCACCCAGAGGCAGGTCCAAGTCCAGGTGTCTTCGGAGCTGCGAATGGAGAGGATGGGGGCGCAAAGGAGGAAGCTCAAACAACCTCAGAGAGGGTGGGAGACCTCAAAGCCCTTCTGCAAGGGCCACCAGGAAGCTGCTCCCTGCCTTCCTTGGAGAGATCTTCAGGAGAAACCGGGTGGCCGTGCCGGCTCTGGGGCATTCCCTGAGTTCCTGCACCGACACACTCGGCTCTCGGGGTGGCAGGATGCCGGGATATCCCTGACGGCTCCGAATCTCCGCTTGTCCCTTGCCTTCCACCCCGGGTGAGGAATTGGGAAGCGTGGGGGCAAACGCTGCACCCTCCCCATGACTAAAACTGGGGGAAACCTCCGGAGCCCCCGTGCATCGGTGCTGGAGGCTCCTGCTCCATGGTCCTTGGTTCTCCAGCCCTTCTCGCCGCTCCTCCTGCCTTCATGGGATGCCTCCTGGAGCAGGGAAGAGGCCACCGCTCCGCGGCTCCTCCAGGGACTTGGGACCTCCCCGGTGTCTCCTCTCGCAGTAACTTTTTCCATGTTTGAGTGTGGCTCCCCGAGACCACCCAGGAGGAAGGGAATTTTGGAAAGGCGGAGGGATGAAATGAAGCCCTCGCGCGGGTTTCCCTTTTAAAGGGCAATGTGGGAATCATTGTCCAGGACATTTGGTTTTGAGCAAACTCAGAAAACAAAGTCTCTTCAAACAGGGGGTCTGCAGCAGCTCGAGAAGGTTGAAGGGCAGTAAATCCTCAAAGCAGATGGGATTTCTTCTCCAGGGCTTTGGAAGGGGCCTCGGCGCGTTGATGCGTCACCCGGAGACGCGGAGCGTCGTTCGCTCATCGGAACACGACGTCTGTCCATAGAGCCCTTGGGGCTGGAGGAGGGAGCAGAAACAGCCTTGGACGTGGTCTTGGGGGGTTGGATCCGAGCAGATCCTTGACCATCTTCCCAAAACGAGGCCCCAGTTGCTCCTTGCTGCTCTCAGGGGGAGCTCGCGTGTCCCTGGGGAGGCAGCTGAGGATGAAGACGAGGATGAGGGTCTCCCAGCGAGGTGGTACCAACCGACCTGGCCGCGTTGATGGGATGAGGGAGCTCATCCCGACTTCCATCCTGACTTCCTCCCGCTGGGATGGGGAGAAGGAGCTGCAGGCCGTTCCTTTTGGCAAGACCATCGTCTAAAGCAGGTCCTGCGCTCCGGGGCCGGCTCCTCCGCGGCGCCTGTTGCCAACAGCCGCCCGCGCTCCCGTTGTTGTGGGAACGGCGGTAATTCACCGCCTGGGAAGGGCTCCGGGCTGTCTCCCTGGAACGCGGCGCGAGAGCCGCCGCTGACACCTGAACTCTAGTTAACCCTCCCAGGGAGGACGAGCAACGTCTTGTTCCACATATATCTGTATATGTGTGGGGGTGTGTGCACATATTTTTCTTTTGCGTGCACAAATATATATAAAAACATATATATGTATAGATACATAAATACATATTTGTTTTTTTTAACTCTGTCTCCTTTGAGGGCTGTGGGGGGAGCATCTCTAGGCATCTTTGCAGCCCCAGTGCTGGTGAGAAGAGGAAGAGGGATGAAATAAGGCCAGTTTGTGCATGTGCACCCGGAGATGTCGGAAAAATAATCGGAGCCTTTGGAAGCGGATTCAGCTTGTGGACCCAGCCCGGGGGTGGCTCTGTGCCCCGGCGAGCGAGGATGGTGCCGTGGAAGGGGGTGGAGAGGGATTGGGGTTGCGCTTGGGGCTGAAATAATTCGTGTTAAATGTCATGTACTGAATGCACCCTGTATTAAGAGAATAAAAAGAAAAGGAGAGAGAGGAGAATAAAAAGAAAAGGAGAGAGAGGAGAATAAGAAGAGAAAAGGAGAGAGAGGAGAATAAAAAGAAAAGGAGAGAGAATAAAAGAGGAGAGAGAAGAATAAAAAGAGAAGAGGAGAGAAGAATAAAAAAAAGAGAAGAGAGAGAAAAATAAAAGAGAAGAGGAGAGAGAGAAGAATAAAAAGAAAACGAGAGAGAAGAATAAAAGAGAAAACAAAAAAAGAGAAGAGAGAGAAAAATAAAAGAGAAGAGGAGAGAGAGAAGAATAAAAGAGAAAAGGAGAGAGAGAAGAATAAAAAAGAGGAGAGAGAGAAGAATAAAAAGAGGAGAGAGAGAAAAATAAAAGAGAAAAGGAGAGAGAAAAGAATAAAAAGAGAAAAGGAGAGAGAGAAGAATAAAAAGAGAAAAGGAGAGGTAAAAAAGGGAGCCTGTGGTGCCTAAGTGCTGGGAGCCAGGATGGGCTCCTGGCCCCTTGACTAAGGCTCCGGGTTTGGGAATGTCCCGCTGGCAGCTGAAGCTCCCTGGTGTGTTTGTTGAATCCCTGCGTTATTAGCGGGGCCGGAGCAGGAACAGGGTGAGCCCTGGCGCGGGCGGCGCGGAGGAGGGAGCGCCTGCGCCCTGGGAGGGGACGCGGGGAGGAATTTCTGGGTGTCCTCGCGGTCACCGCGGGCTGCGCCACCCACTTGCTGCAAAACCTGCTTTTTTCCTCCCTGTTTGACGCCGCACCCCGGCCTGGAGCCCTTCCAGCAGCAGCTCCGGGAGCTGCTTCCCCGTCTTTCACCCTGAGCTGACGCACGGACTTTGCCCCATCCGTCCCCAGAAATCCTGGGGTCTTTTGGGCCCCAACCCGCTGTGTTTGTGGCACTTCTGTTGGCACCAGCCTCTTGCTCCTCTCTGTCCCCGTGGCAAAATGTGACCTCTTAATGCAAATAAATGCCCCAATGTGCATAGCAATCCCAGCTGGGAAGTTGCCTCCTCCTAATGGAGCATCTCTCTTTCTGTCCCGCTGATGCCAGTTAAGCTGGACCTAAAAGGGAGCTGGGCTGAAGGTCAGAGCTTGGGTCTGGCCGTAGGTTGCTCCCTCTTGGCTTTGGCCCGGGCTGCCTCTCACCCCTTTGTGCTCTTCCCCTTCCCTCCAGGGAGCTCCGGCTGCGGAACTACGATCCCGAGGATGAGGAGCTGAAGAAGAGGAAGGTGCCACAGGCCAAGCCAGCCTCAGGTGGGTGGGAGCTGCAGCGTGGGACGTGACGGAGCTGGGACAGCGCCAACGGGGACCGGGAGCTTCCTCCGACCTCGCGGTCCGGAGGTTCTCAGAGCCCTCCTGGGCCTCAGCCGTGCTCCTCGCTTCGCCGCTGCAGCTCCCACATCTCTTTTTTGCTAGTTTTGATTCCCCAGCTGGATTTGCAGCTGCCCTGCGCTGCTCAAACCCGGTGTGTGCCCGAGCGAAGGGGCCCCGGGAGCGGGGCTGCTCGGGGACATTGGGGCTCTTCTCCTCGAAGTGCCTTTAAATCCACGTTAGCTGCGAGTCCGGGATGTTCAAGCTGCTCTTTCCACCACAAAGCCCCTGCACACCTCTGAAAGGGAGCCAAAGGGGAGGCGTTGCCTTCAGCTCGAAATATTAAGTCCTCCTGGGAGAGATGTCTTTAAAATGCCCTCAATAAAAGGCTGCCTGTGCCTGGCGGCGAAGCGCCTGCAGGAGGGAGTGCTGACAGGGCAGTTTCTTTATCCTTCTGTCAAAGTTTAAAACTTCCTCCTATTCTTCGCCCGCATGTGGCTGGGAATTGGGAACAGCCTTTTTGGCTGCTTTCGGTAAAACCCAGACCCTCTCGGGAGCTGCGCTGCCCCTTGGATGCAATTCCCGGGTCCGGAGCAATACGAACCTCGTCCTGTTGTCACCCTCTATTTCCTGGGATGCTTTGCTCCGTATGAAGCCTCCGGGACCACGGAGGAGGAGTGAAAACCCAGGACTGCTGAGCTGGTACCTTGGGGTTGGTCCCAAATCTCTGCCTGAAGTGCAAGAGCAGATTGGGTCAGATCAGGGCCTGTTTTAGCCTCTTGCCATCGCGATTTCTGGGGATGAGGGAGCCTAAATGCTGCTGTGGAGTGAGCGCTGCCTCCTTCTCCATGGAGCTGTCGATGCCTTCGGGAGCGCGGCTCCTTCGGGAAAACACCAGGCTGCTTCCCAGGAAGAAGTGCAGAGCCCGGCGGTGCCGTGGACTTCAGAGGAAGGGGTTGTGGATGCAGCACGCCCTGTGGTTGTGGTTTTGGGGTCGTGGTTGTGGTTTTGGGTCGTTGGCAGCTGATTTGAGGCAGGCCCTGGCCTGCGGGTGCTGCTCCGTGCTGCGCTCTCAAGGCAGTGCCTTTCCTAGCAGCTTTTCCAAAGCAATCCCAGAGCTCCGGGGAGGCGGCTCCTTGCCTTATCCCATGTCCTGCCCTGACGCTGATGCTGTTCCCCCATCTAGTGGAAGAGAAAGTGAAGGAGCAGCTGGAGGCCGCCAAGCCGGAGCCCATCATCGACGAGGGGGTCG